AAAAAAGCTCTCCATTCCTTTCCTCATACTCTTTGTAGCGATTTTTCAAATGCAAATTGCTAATATAATACTATAGAAATGCTTCCTGTACCTCCACTTTTCGTGCAAGCACTTTACAAGCCACACGTATTTGACATTTTTGTTCACTTAGCATTGAGCCTTTAAGTTGTTGCCATAGCAACAGAAACTTCGGCTGTTTGTATGATTGCCAAATTTCATTTCATTAAAGTGCTGTATCCAGTGGACCTTCCACGTCATTGCATCCAATCTTTGGCAGTCACAATAATCTTGCACATAGCCACATGGGGGGGCAAGTTCTAAACTGAGGGGGATTTTCTCACAGTGGATCTGCTAGGCTCAAGAACGTGCACTGGTATCTTGGTTGGCAATACCAAACTGCTCTCCACAGGGCTTGTGCCAATAGACACTGGTCTGTTTTGATTTTTGAGATGAGGTCTCCTCTGTGGTCCAGGCTGGTCTCAAACTTCTGGGCTCAAGTAATCCTGTCAAACAGCTGGTTCTAAAGGCAGTACCACCATACCTGGCTTCCTATGATCATAATACACAGACACATGGACACACATACACACACAGACACACACACACACAAAATTTCTTTTGTTTTAAGAGACAGAGTCTTATGCCGCCTAAGCTGGCCTTGTTCTGTTTCTTTTTAAGCAAAACAGTATTTTTATTATTAAAAAAAAAATCTTGGGGGGGTGCTGGAGAGACGGCTCAGCAGTTAAGAACACTGGTTGTTCTTGCAGAGGACCCAGGTCTGGCTCCCAGTACCCACACGATGTCTAACAACCATCCTAACTCCAGTTCCAGGGGATCCAACACCCTCTTCTGACCTCCATGGGCATTGCATGACACTGGTACACTTAATTCACGCAGGCAAAACACTCGCACACATTTAAAAAAAAAAAAATCAGACTAGAGAGACAGGTCACCGGATCTGTAACCCTAGCTCTCCCTGACAGAGACAGAGGATGTCCCAGAAGCCTGAGGGCCAGCCGGCCTGAAGTACACAGCACAGCGAGAAACGAAAGACCCTACCCCGAGGAGAAAGGTAAAAGCTGGTCTCTGACCTCCGCATGATACACTGTGCCACACGTGTGGCTACACTTACTTACATACACACCACACACAAAATACACCCCCACAATTTAAGATAGGCACATCTCTGGGGTTCACCCACTGGCCAGTCAACCCAGCCTACTTGGTGAACTCCAAGCCAGAGAGACCGTGTCCCCAAAAACGAGGTAAACCACACCTGAGGAATGACACTGAACTTGCACTTTGACCTGCATGCATATGCACATGTACCACATGCATGAGCACCTACACAACATAGGTGCATGCACACGCGGAAAACTGAACTCTTATAGAGAACACAGACAGCCAGGACAGAGGGCAATGCAGTGAGTACCCTGTGCTCAGCGCCTCTGAAGACCTCTAGGGGTAAACCCAAGTTGCCTGCTCTCCCCGATTTCCATTCATCTCGCCTCCATCAGCAAAGGGTTCTCGCGGTGTGCAGCTGAGCCACCTGCCCAGTGTGAACCCATGAGTGTTCAGTAGTGCCCACGGCTCCTTAGGAGACAGTGGGACAGACACTAACTTTTAACACTACACAGGCTGTCCTCTCCATCACAGTGGACTCCAGCCAGAGGCACGTCCTCGATGCCGGCTGTCCACGTCCTCTATGTACGGCCACCTGAGGTGTCAGGGGTCTACAGCTGGTTCACTTGCATGGGCTACAGAAGGTCAAGTCTGGCTGGCAAGGACACGCAGGAGTAGTAGAAAGATGCCGTCAGGACAGGGGACAAGAGTAGACAGGAAGGCAGGGCTGCTTCCCCAAAGGAAGAGTCACTATGCATTTTCACCTGCTTACACCTGGAAGCGACCCCTGGCACCATCAGCACCTGCCCTGAGGCTCAGAGTCAGGGGATGGGTGAGCACTGTGTGCTAAAGGTATTTCAGCTAATGTGGAAAAACTAGTAGAGTTCAGGCAGAAAAATCTGGATTCTTGGTGCTCTCAAAACTGCCTGGTAACCCTGGGACCGCCTCTGCCAGGGCTGCAGAGGCTGTGCCCATCTGCACAGGACTCACCCAAACTGCTTCGCCAAGTCAGGACTTGCCTTGGAAGCTACTGGAACCTGTCTTTCCCATTCTACATGGTTGCCCCATATTTATCACCACTCTGAACGCATCTTCCTTCGGCCTGTCACTCCCTGCATCTCTGCTTCCAGAAACCGCTTAGAACAGTGGTTCTTTTCAGAGCTCCCTGCAACTCAGACAGGTTGCAATCCTGCCCAAGCCTTTGAAGGCTTTGTGTCAAGGCCCACAAGTGGCCACTCCATCCCAACACCAGCTTCCTCAGGACCTGAAGCCAGGCGACAAGGAGGACACAGCTGGGGGCCAGCACTGCAACTCTGCCACTAACTGTTCAACAGCACAGCTGACTAAAAGATCAACAGGGCCAGGGTGGGGATTCCCCTCCAGGCTCAAGAGAAACACCCCAACAACCAACATTAAACTAAAAAATGAGGCCAGGCTTCACAGAATTAACACTCACACCACCCACCACAAAGGTGAGCACAATACCAACATCAGCCCTTTGTGGAAGATTCCACAGCTTTTGGGATTCCAGGCCCAACTGGCACAGTCTGGAAAGGAATTCATCCCCACTGCCCACTTACCCCACCGGATCCCTCATATCCACTTACCACCTTCGTGTCCTACTGGCTTTCCATTCAGCTGTGCCCATGACTTTGGTCCACCTGGCACTGAATTTGTGTTCTGAAAGGAGGAAGGACACAGAAGAGCCAGCTTAGTCAGTCTGCTGTGCAGCTGAGCACCTTGGAATGCAGTGCTCAGAGCTCAGGCGGGGCTCAGTGAGACAGTGCTGGCCTGGCATGAACAGGCCCCGGCTTCTATCCCCAGCACCACAGAGAAGGCGAGTGAGGGCTGCACTGTACAGTCAAGCCTCATATGGGGGACAGACTGCCACTTCCTTGGCTATCAGTGCAGGCATGTTCAGCCAGGGTCAGGACCTTGGAGCTCATAGTTGCACAGCTGGTGATGCAACACAGGAGACTCAAACCCATGCCAGCCCTCACCATGCACTCTGCAATGCTGCCAGACTGTCCACCACTGTCCACACAGAGCTGTGCTGCCTTGCTCCAGAGACAAAGCCTCAACCTCGATTCCAGCACGTTTCAAACACGGTGCCACTGCTGAGAAGCACACACAGGATGTGCGCGGGTCATCCTGTAATTACTATTAGTCTTCAAAGCCTGATTCCTGACATGGGAGGCCTTCCTCCTCCACTCATCTGCACTGGCCTGTCTCAGCCTTAGCCCCACAGCAGCCTTTGCAGAAAGCTCATGAGGAGTGCTGCCAGGCACCTGTGGGCCAACTGAAATCCCATCCCACCTTTGGAAGGGTCTGATCAGATCCCAACTGGGGCTCAGAAATGAGTGGCACAGACATTCCCCCAAGCAGACAACTGTATATCTAGTGTTCTGAGCACAGATGACCAGGGCTTCACTGGGTATTCTATTGAGTCCGCAGATGTCTCCTGACAGACCACACGGATATGTCCACAGAGTGGCAGAGGCAGTGCAGCTGAGCCTGGATGGTCCCCTGTAAGCAGGGGGCACCAGGGCTGTGTCCCTCTCTTCCTCCGTGCTCCAACCCCACATCCTACTTGGAGCACTAATGGAGAAATGCCTACAGAACCAAGAGGATTACAAAGACTGCTGGTGAAGTCTCCCCCGAAAGCAGTCAGCTGTGACTCCTGAGATGTTCTAGAAGCCACAGATCACTGGTATCCCTTTCCCCTTCCAATGAGAGAAAATCCCAGAGCCCCTAAGAAGAGCTGAATGCTGGCTGAAATGGCCTGTATGAGATGCTGGGAAGGGCTTCTCCATCTGGCCAAAGCCCATACCCTTCTGGAATGTTCCTAGGTAGATGCTCCTAGGCTCCAGAGATGGGGTCAGGGCACAGGTGTGTTTAACAAGCTCTGCATCGCTAAGGCACCAGGAGTGGTAATCTCACTTGGCTTTAAATTCTGGGAAACAAAAGGAATTCAACTCCGTATTCTGACTAGTCAGTAGGTCTAGGGGATTGTGGCCAATGTGTATGGACTCTGATACAAATTGTGGTCTTTTGTCCTCCCCGTCTTTAATTTCAAAAGCAAAGGTCAGTGTTTGCCCTGGCAAAGCCAGGGTCCCCCACCTACCTCCTTCTTCCAGCCACAGTAAAGAAAGGATAGCATTTCAGATCTTGTATTGCCCAGGGGGCAATACACACTCAGGTTATCAAGACAGCTAGTAAACGCTAGGTATCTGTATCTCTCTTTTTCCTTTCTTCCAAAAAAGGCACAGAGTTCTGCAGCCTTCTAGCTACCCGCCGAGTCCCTCCTCCTGCTGAGCTACAGTCTGATGATTGAGTGTATCATGAGCTGTCACTGGGTTAAAGTGTGGCTTTCTGAGTCTGTCCTGAAATCCCAGCTACTTGAGAAGCTGAAGCAGGAAGGAAGAAAGTTCAACACGTGCCTGGGCTACAGAGTGTCTCATTAACAAGACACAGTCTCATAATGAAAAGTAAAAACAGGGCTGGGAGAATGCTTGCCTGACATGTGCAAGGCAAGGCCATCCACTCCATTTCCAGTGGGAAAGAAAAAAGAAAAAGGATGGGGCTGGAGAGATGGCTCAGCGGTTAAGAACACTGGTTGTTCTTGCAGAAGACCTGGGTTCAAATCCCAGCACCCACATGGCAGCTAACAACTGTCCACAACTCCAGTCCCAGGGAATCCAACAGCCTCTTCTGACCTCCGCAGGCATTGCACAACATGGTACACTTACCTGCATGCAGGCAATACACGCATACACATAAAATTTAAAAATTAAATTAAAAAAAAAAGAAAAAGAAAGAGAAATTGTGCGCCTCTGTTTAGAGTAGTATTTAAAATGTATTAACAAATAAAAGATCACAGCCCAGAAAAACTAGAGCTTAAAGACATTTTAAGAAAGGCTTCCTAGGGGCTGAAGAGATGGCTCAGTGGTTAAGAGCACTGGCTGCTCTTGCAGAGAACCTGGATTCAGTTCCCAGCACCCACATGTCAGTTCACAACCATCTGAAACTCCAGTTCCAGGGACTCTGACGCCCTCTTCTGGCCTCCACAGGCATTGGATGCATGGGTGCACTTACATACATGCAGGTCAAAACACGCATCCACATAAAATACAAATAAATAAATAAAAACAAACAAATAAGAATGGCTTCCCAGGACAAGGGGATCTAGAGGTGCTGTCCAGCAGGCCCTCTCCTTAGGGACTTAAAGGTATGGAGAAGCCTGACAGCAAAGGAGCCTGATTAGCTGTGGTTTTCAAACCTACTCAACATCACACCTTGCTGCAACCTGACAGCACTTTCTATATTCTCAGAATGCTAGCTTGCCATCAACCCAAGCAACCTGCTCAAGGCAAACCAACCAGCACCAAAGCAGGAGCCTGTGTTCCCCTCTGCACTGGCCTTTCCCCCTTTGAATCAACTTTCTATAGAGTGCCCACAGCACAGCCCTGCACCACCTTTCAGCCCCATGTCAAGTAAGCCTCTGAGAAAACAGACTAGGCCTGAGCACACGTCTCAGCAACAATACCCCAAGTTCCCAGCAACAGGAACACCAAGGACTAGACTCTGGCAAAGTCACGATCCCCAACACCTACCTCCTGGCTGATTGACTGTGTCGGTTTCTGCAAATTGGAGACAGATTTCTGCAAACCCGGCTGCGGCTGCGACTCCGGCGGCTGAGAGGCCGTCACACTGGAACTGGACAAAGACAGATACATAGAGTGGGGTCAGACTGCATGGGGCATCTGGCCAGGCGCTGCTCTTCAAAGATCCAGAGAAGCAACAGTTCCTGATGACGAGCCAGCAAACCACACTTGGGGCCCAAGTCAATGACATGACCTAGGGCACAGGGTAGTCTACTGCCTGGTTGTCAATGAGCTCACTACGGAAAATCTACCAGAGTAGAAACTGAGTCACTGGTGTGAGGGATCTGAGCTCCTCACTCCTGACCAAGGACCCACGAATACTCAGGATAATTGTTTTGAGACTGACTAGATTTTCTACCTTCCCTTAGCTTATAAAAGAAATACACGCTCATGTAAAAATAACCGTATAAATAGCAGACATTACCATCTCATGTCCCAGACACAAACTCCCGATTCCCACAGACTTTCCTATACATATGTAGCATATTTTTAACACAAGATAGCCCTGTGCATACTAGTCCACCTTTTTTTTTTTGGAGACAGGGTCTCCCCTATAACCCCAATTGGCCTGGAATTCACTATGTAGACCAGGCTGGCCTCAAACTCACAGAGATCCACCTGCCTCTGCCTCCTGAGTGATGGAATTAAAGGCATGTGCCACCATGCCCAGCTAGTCCACCTTTTTTATATTTTATGTTTTGGAATTTTATAACAGTACACGTGGAATTCGTTTTTTAAAATGACAAACTGCAATTAGAAGATTCATAACTTAACCAGCTGCTCTTTCTTTCACGTTACAGATAAAACTGTGATGAACATTATATACACACACATCTTTGGATCCTTTCCTGTAATTCAGAATCATATAATCTTGGGGAGGGAGCTGTTGGATCAAGATGTTTTGACATGTCAAAGCTTTGCCAACTGCCCTCCACACAGGCTGCTCCTGCATGCCCATGTGTCTTCTGAGAAGACACCAGGAAAGACCTTGTGGAGCCTTCTGCTCTGCCTCAGTGCATTGCAATCAACAGAGCCAAGCAGGACAGCTGCCTACTTAGTGAGGAGCAGACAGTGCCAGAGGCTAATCTGCTGGCTGAAGCCAAACTCTCAGACAAACTGCTCCAAGTTCACCTGAGCCCAGTCCCTCACCAGTCACCAGCATGACTAAATAAAGGCCCCTGGCCCTAGGCTCTGAGTCACCCATAGACTAGGCCAGGGTGGCCGGGAGCTTCCTTCCACAGCTCCCTGTTAATGTCCCCCTGGCAGGCAGCACTTACCAGGGTGCCTGGCACTGTCTTTGCCACTGCTGGCCGGGACTGAAGAGGAGAGAGTTGACACTTTCTGTCCTCTTCTCTCTAGAGCTTTTGGAAGCGGAGGCACCCAGAGCCGACACTCGACTGTGGGACATCTGTTTCATCACAGAGCTGGAGTGGGTGTCACTCAAATGGAATGACAATAGCTCGCACGTGCCATGCCCTCCCTCTGTGCCAAGCTGTTATCCCACAGGTGCCTCACAGGGCCCTGGTGGCCACCCTTGGAACGAGGGACTGTTCCTGCCTCAAGGGAAGACCCTAGGGCTCAGAAGTTAACTAATTCCCCAGGTCTTAACAAGCCACAATGGTCTGGCTGAAAACTGTACACAAGGCCAACTCTGAGGGTCACGCCATATCCGAGAGTCAACAGAATCCCTGGCAAACTGCACGGTTTAAATAACTCAGGACCCACTCCAGCCACTCCTGTAGTGTGTCAACTGGCTGCACGGCTCCTTCACACTCTACCTCCTGTCTGCCATGCTGCAGAGGTGGCTTTCCCAAAGTATCCAGGGCCACTTCCAGCACAGGCTTAAGAGACAGGGGGAATGGATGGCAGGCTGCACTCCTCTGGGTCGGTCTCACTCACTGTCCAGTTCCCTGCATCAGCATGAAAGGACCACAACAGAAGCATGGAGGAGGAGGGTGAGAGAGGCTGGACTGTCTTGGTTTTAATTCTCAACAGGAAAACTCCAGCAAGAGGCGGCTTCTGTCTACGGAGCCCCTCTCCAAGAGGAACAGGGACTGAGAGAGGCAGAGACACACAAAGGCTCAGCATCTGAGGGACCCACGCAGGTTGCTGCTGGGGCCAGGCTGTCTCTCTAGGGCTGTTATGCCTCAGGCCCTCAGTCTCCTAAGGCTGCTATGCATCAGGGGAGCCTCTAGGGTGGCTGCTAAGGAGACTGTGGATACGGAGGCTTTGCTGTGGCGCCTACTAATAACACGCTCTGTTTGGGGTAAGGGAGTCCTCCACGCCCCGCCTAGGAAGCTGTCAACCCACAGCAAGGGGGTTATATTCTCCCCCACCTGGAGCTCAGCACGCAGAGTACCAGCCTGCCCAGCAGTTCTCTGGGGCCTGGATTCAATCACCACACACACTCCTCTTGGGGATGGAGACTTTCCTATTAAGGCAGGCCACATGGCTACCCAGAGAAACACTAATCAGCTCAAAAGCCCAGCAAAGGAAGAGATCACAGTCCGAAAAGCTTGTTCATTACCTCTGAGTTTCCAGCTCTCCTGCTGCAAGGCCACAACAGAGTGCACAATTTGAAGAGCCCTGACACTCCAGTCCCCACCCCGTGGTCACTGCCCCTTGCTGCTCACCTCTTTGGGTCTTGCTGGTCCTGCTTGTTGGCCCATCCTGTCCCGTCCTTGGGTACTATCACGATGTTGGGGTCGTTTCCTTTGTTTTCAGACTTCAGACTTGGCAGGTTTGCAGGTGGTGGCATACGCCGGGCTGTGGCAACTTTCCCGAGACTCTGTAAGCCATGTCTAGGAATAACTGCAGGGAGACACATATGGAACAGACAACCACACAGCAAAGTCACAGGAGGAAAGAGGCCGACTGGCTCCACCTCAGACTCCAAGGGAGAAAGACAAAGCCTAGCAGAGACTAGTGCCTGGCAGTCACTCCAGCCCAGCCTACAGACAAAGGGGCTGCTGGGATCCACACAGGCCCCATTCTACAGAGCAGGGGGCAGCTTGGGAAGCTCATGCCAGGGAGGAGTCAGGCCCAGAAAGGATGGCCCATAGTGGCCACCCTTGCACCATGAGATGGTCCTGGGTGGGCCCCAAGAACTCCCAGGAAGGCCTCGTGGGCGACAACAAACTACATGAACTTGGCCCACCAAGTTCCAGAAAGCCAGAACCAGGAAATGAGAGGGAGCAAAGCCATGCAAATGAAGTTCAGTCGGCCAACGAGGCCCAATGCCCACAGCTTCAGTACAGGAAGGACTGCCACAGGAGACCCAGTGGGTTCTGGGATCAGCCCTTGAGGAAGGGGAAAAGGTGACTGCTTCCTTAAAACGGCCAGCCAGGCATGGTGGCACATGCTTTTAATCCCAGCAAGGGCAGGCAGATCTCTGGGAGAGCTCTGTAAGATCAAGGCCAGTCTGGTTTTTATACCAAGTTCCAGGTTAGCAGAGGGTTCTAGGGAGACCCTGTCTCAAAAACGAACAAAACAAAACAAAATGGCCAGGCCCCCACTGGTGCCCCCCAAGACTGGTTTGCAGGGACACACCTGCCTGGTCCGGCGTCCGGAGCATCTCACAAGGGAAGGCGGGGGCAGCCTTCAGCAGGGCCTTACCTGAGGATCTGACCGTGTCTACTGATCTGCCTTTATACTTGTCAAACAGGCTGAGAGTCGAGTACTTGCTTTTCCCATCCTTGCCCTTGGTTATTTGCCCCAAACGATCGGACATTGCGATGAAATGTCATCTAGTAAGGAAATTTTCTTGGCACCGCTCCCGATCAGCCTTTGGAATGGAAAAGGGGGGGGGGGTCAGTCACCAGACCTCCAACCCAAAGGACCATATCCTTCAGGGATCATGGGCACCCTGAAGATGTAAAGACAGCCATGGACCAACCCAAGGAAAATGCCCTCACCACCCACAGGTGTATATACAGGTAGAGGGCTCTGCAGATAGCCCAGCCCACCCCTGGGCCACCCCACCCCCACTGATGACTCTCAATATACAGACAGGCTGGAGACCGCTGCATGAGGCTGTGCTGCAAATAGATTTTGACATACTCGGTCCCTCTCCAAGTCAAGGACAACTCTCCAAGACAGAAAATGGCACTCTTGACTTCTAGTACACACAAAAGAAGGGGCCAGACTAGACTAAGGGAGTGCATGGCCCAGCTGAGCCAAGGCCAGTCAGGGTTGAGCAAACCCAATCAAAGGAAATCAACCAGAGCAAGTGACCCAGGAGCAGCCAGGTAAAGAGCCAGAGCCTGAAGAACAGCAGCCAGGGGAACGGCAAGCAGGACACTGTCAGCACCTCCCCTCCACTCAGACAAAGCCTGGAAAAGACGTGGATGAGGCTTCCAGCCCCTTCACCTTCTGACTTTCCATGAGTCTATTAGCACTGTTTCCTTCATTAACACACATTCTTTGATTTTTTTTGTTTTTTGACACAGGGTCTCCCTGTAGCCCCAGCTGACCTGGAACTCACTATGTAGACCAGGCTGGCCTTGATCTCACAGAGATCCACCTGCCTCTGCCTCCCAAGTGCTGGGATTAAATAAGGGTGTGTGCTACATTCATTCAAACACTAAGGGCCCATCGGTATCGATGAGTTTTATTCTCACTGAGACTCAGATCACAACCTTCACCACCATCTTTACACTTGATCTTGACACATCACTCAGCAATGCATAGGACAGAAAGCGAGAGCATCCACCAAGCATCCCTGTCACGTGTTCTTCCTGGCTTCATCGGGTGACCACAGGTGTACCCTCTAACACAAGGCACTGGGAGGTAGCTGCACTCTGTGTTTCAGATCTGAAGCCATGCAGGCCAGGAGGAACAAATCAGTCAGTGTGTCTGGAAGGCACTTTACACCCACTAAGATGCCGTGTAAGGTAAAAGTCTATACTGTGTCTTTAGACTATGAGGCATGAGGAGCAAACAATCGATGACAAAGGGCACCAAAATCAAAAGCTGGGACAGAGACACTAACATCACACCTCTGTAGACAGAGCTGAGCGCCCTGTCATGGCAAAGGCACAGGTTTTCACTCTGGCACAAAGCGGGCTTTCCCACCCTTCATTCAATTTATTTACCCAACACCAGCTGTACCCAATGGGATCTACCACACACTGCAGGAACAGGTAAGCATGAAATGTGTGCCAGGATATGCTCCTACAAAGTGTACATGGGGCCAACAACCTGGCTCAGAGGGTAAAGGCACTTGTCACACAAGCCTGGAGACCCGAGTTCAATCCCCAGAACCCACAGTAGAAGGAAAGAACTGACTCGCAAAGTTGTTCTCAGACTTCCATATATATGCCATGGCACATAAACACCTACACACATCACACAATAGTAAATTTTAATTTTAAAATGCACACAGGGGCAATGGCACACATGTGCAGGGACACCCCTCAGTGGCCATCTTGGCACTCTCTCCTCACAGGACAGCTCTCTTCTCAACATGGTCACAGCCAGCCTGGCTGGATATGAACTCCTTTCTTCACTCAAATCCAGGCGGCTGGAAGTGAAAGAACACAGTACAAAGGGAGCTGCACGTTCATGGCCAAGCCCAGGTACCCAAAGAACTGAGGAGAGCAAGAGAAGCTGAAAAGCCCTAGTGATTATGGCCCAAGATCAGTGAGAACCTTTGGCTCCAACATCCTGCCCAAGGTCAGCCTTGTGCTCTAGGAGCAGAGAAAGCCAGGACCACAAAGGACCCGACCCAAAGGTACCTCCTTGCTCCAAGACACAGAACGCACCCTTTCCTTTGTGTTTGCATCTTCCGCCCATCAATTTGTATGAATGAGTCTGCTTTGCCCCACAAGAGTCCTAACAGCATCCTCCTCCCAGGCTGGCCCACAGCCCTTTAGGGACTGGATTTTAGCCACTTCAAAATGACCAGCACTTCACAGGCCCTCAAGTGTAGGTCACTTAAAATTCTCCACTGAATGGGAAATGACTATCAAAAAAACCCCACAATTGAGGCACCATCTCTCCCCAGTCACAATAACTATTACCAAAAAGAAAAAAAAAATCATAAAAAAATGTAAGCTACACTGACTACAGAAAATATAGGAAGGGTCTTTAAAACACGAGGCATAAATCCGCAGGCTCCAGCAATCCCAATTCCTGAATATATACTCAAAGGTGCTAAAAACAGCCAAGACGTGCAGGCAACATGGGGCCCAATAGACAACCAGATAAAACGTAAAAGGGGTGTCACCTAGCTGTAAAAAAGAATGGAGCTCTGTCGTTCACAGCATCGTGGATGAAAGTGGAGAACATTGTTAAGTGTGATGACTCAGACACCGGAAGACAAAAAGCACACGTGATTACCCAGAGGATTAAAAAGTTGACCTCAGGGCTGGCGAGATGGCTCAGTGGGGAAAGGTGCCAATCCCTGGGACTGACATCACAGAGAACACCAACTCCCGCAAGTTGTCCTCTGAACTCCACACATAGACCGAAGCACTCATGCCCACAGATCACACACACAAAAATATTAATAAAATGTTTAAAAAAAAATTGATCTCAGGAAGGAGAGAGAACAGCAGCTACCAGAGGCTGGGGAATCAGGTGGGGGAGAGAAAGATGGAAGAGGGGAGGCGGGGAGGGAGGCTGGTTGGCTGGCCGATGTGTTGGGGGAGTAAGTTTTAAAACTCTATAGCAAAGTAGGAAAACTACAGTTAAAACAATGGACTCTTTCAAAATAGCAAGTAGAGGATACACACATTCACCGAGATGTCACCCTGGACCCCAGAAATACATACAACTGCTGTGTCAAAATGAAAATGTATGCTACATGTGGTGGTGCACATCTCTAATCCCTGCACTCCAGGAGGCAGAGGCAGGTGGATTTCTGGGAGATCAAGGCTAGCCTAGACCACATAGTGAGTTCCAAGCCAGCCAGGACTAAAGGGAGACCCTAGCTCAAAACATTAAAAAAATAAATAAAACGTATTCTTTAGAATCTAGATGGGATCTACATTTCAGACACTTTTGTCAACTCCAATTAATAATTTGGAAAAAACCATTTGGTGGGGGCTTGGAGAGATGGCTCACTGGTTAAGAGCACTGGCTCTTGCAGAGGACCTGGATTTGATTCCCAGCAGCCACATGACAGCTAACAATCATCCATAACTCCAGTTTCAGGGGATCCAATGCCCTCTTCTGATCTCTATAGTCAATGCTCGACACAGGTGGATTTACATACATATTCAAAATAAAAATAGTAAAGAAGGGCCAGGCATAGTGGCGCACGCCTTTAATCCTGGCAGAGGCAGGTGGATCTCTGTGAGTTCAAGGCCAGCCTGATCTACATAGTAAGTTCCAGGACAACTGGGGCTATAAGGAGACCCTGTCTCAAAAAGACCAATAATAATAAAAATAATAAATTTTTTTTTTAATGAAAAAAATCCACTTGGATAGAAACCACCCACAGAGTCAGGGTGTGGTAGTGCAGGAATCCTCACCACAGATGTTGAAGCAGGAAAATTGAGGCTTCAAGGCTTGGTCAACCTTGAGACCCTGGAGAGGGAGGGAGGGACTCACTCCAACACAAACCCTTGGGATAGTCACCATGGCGATGGGACCTGCACCTGTGCTTCACAGGGCTTCTGATCTGAAGCAGGTACAGCAATGACCTATCTTCGTATACTCAAGCCAAGAATGGCAGTTTTTCCTTTTTTCTCATATTTGTTCAAAGAAATGTAATGTTCCCTCAACCAAGGGGAGGGGCTCATTCCCAGAACCTGATAGGATGCTGCAGGGGTGACCAAGCTAAGGTCCTGGGCTGGGGGAATGAGACTGGATGATGCATAGAGTCCTAAGGAGTCATGAAGGGTCTTACAATGGAAACAGAGGGTCAGTCAGAGGAGAACTACGAAGGCAGATGGGGAGACCAAGGAAGGGGCTGTGAACTTTGCAGAATAAAGGCAGCCTTCAGAAGCTAAAAGGGTGGAAAACGGATTCTCCCCCTGGAGCCTTCAGCAGAAAAGCAGCTTGCTACCAGCAACCTAGTTTTAGCCCTCAGAGACTCATCTGATTCTGAACACCAAAACCCTAAGAAAATAAATCTGTGTAGCTTCAAGCCACTCATTGTGTAGTAAGCTACCACAAAAACAATCAGAAGCTAATGAACTCATACACTGACACCACCACACTCCCAACACAAGGCTAGACCTGGGGCACAGGGGAGGACATCCAGCCTAGAGAGATGTCAGCACTCACATGGTGTCAGCTAAGAGGCACACGCCACCATCTCTCACCTTGGCAAAAGGCAGGCACTAAATGACAACTACACTTCTGTGTCTTTGATCATTGAAAATAACCTTGTTCTGGCCCCTCCTTCCCAGCCATGCCATGCAGGACTAGACTTAACACCATTAGCTTAATTTCAGATAAAATAAAAATAATTTCAAAGAGAATTTAGGTAGATGTGCTTTGGCCTGCATGTATGTAAGTGTACCATGTGTGTGCAATGACTACAGAGGCCAGAAGATGACATCAGATCCCCTGGAACTGGAGTTATGTATGGATGGATGGCTATTAGCCACGTGGGTGCTAGGAACCAAACCTGGGTCCTCTGCAAGAGTTGCAAGTGCTCTTAACCACCAAGTCATTTCTCCAGGTCACTGACAGATTTTCTTAAAAAATATTCATTATTCTTTTTTTTTTTTTTTGTCTTTTTGAGACAGGATCTCCCTGTTGCTCCAGCTGTCCTGGAACTCACTATGTAGACCAGGCTGGCCTCGAACTCACAAAGATCCTCCTGCCTC